AGTGAGACTTTGTCTCAAAAACCAAACAAAAACTAAACAAAAAAAAGAACAGTATATAAATGGAATCACATAGTGTGTGGCCTTTTGAGATTGACTTTTATTTTTCTACTCAGCAAATGCCCTTTGAGATCCATCCAAGTTGTGCATGTTACTTTTTATTGTTTTTCTGTTTTTATTTATTTATTTATTTATTTATTTATTTATTTATTTATTTATGAATGATGGAGTCTTGCTCTGTCGCCCAGGCTAGAGTGCAGCGGTGTGATCTCAGCTCACTGCAACCTCCACCTCCTGGGTTCAAGTGATTCTCCTGCCTCAGCCTCTTGAGTAGCTGTGACAAAAGCAACACACCTGGCTTTTGTTTTTTGTGTTCGTTTGTTTTTTTTGAAACAAAGTTGTGCTCTCGTTGACAGGCTGAAGTGCAATGGCACGATCTTGTTCTCGGCTCACTGCAACCTCTGCCTCCTGGATTCAAGTGATTCTCCTGCCTCGGCCTCCCAAGCAGCTGGCATTACAGGTGCCCGCCACCACACCCAGCTAATGTTTTGTATTTTTAGTAGTGATGGGGTCTTGCTATGTTGGCCAGGCTGGTCTCGAACTCCTGACCTCAGGCGATCCACCTGCCTCAGGCTCCTAAAGTGCTGGGATTACAGGTGAGAGACACTATGCCCAGGGTTTTTTTGTTTTTGTTTTTGTTTTTTTTAGTAGAGACAGGGTTTCACCCTGTTGGCCAGGCTGGTCTCCTGGCCGCAAGTGATCTGCTTGCCTTGGCCTCCCAAAGTGCTGGGATTACAGGCGTGAGCCACTGTATCTGGCCCCCTTTTTATTGTTGACTAGTATTTCATAGAATGGATTTATCAGTTTGCTTAACCATTCACCTATTGGGGGATATTTGGTTGTTTCCAGTTTGAGGCTATTACAAATAAATCGGCCATGAACAATCATGTGTGAGTTTTTGTGCAGACATCAGTTTTATTTTCTGGTACAAATGCCCAGATGCAATTGCTAGGTCATATATTGAGGTGCATGTTTAATTAAAGAAGCTGCAAAACTATTTTCCAGAGTGTCTGCCAATATTTGATATTACCACTATGTTTGATTTGAGCTGTTCTAATAGATATGTAGTGATATCTTACTGTGGTTTTAACTTGCATTCTCCCAGTGGTTGGTGCTGAAGATCTATTCATGTGCTTTAAGTCAACTCATTTTTAAAACATAAATAAATGTATTTAAAAAGGAAAGTTTGCTTTAGGAGGCCAAGGCAGGTGAATTGCTTGAGCCTAGGAGTTCAAGACCAACCTAAGCAACATGGTCAAACTCTGTCTCTACAAAAAATAAAAAAAAATCCCCGGGTGTGGTGGTGTGCGCCTCTGGTTTCAGCTACTCGGGAAGTGAGGCAGGAGGATGGCTTGAGCCTGGGATGTTGAGGCTGTCATAAGCCTTGATTGCACCATTATACTCCAGCCTGGGAGACAGAGCAAAACCATGCGTTAAACAAATGAATGAAAGGAAATTTGTGATTAGTGGTTCTCAAAGTGTGGTCCCTGAGCCAGCAGCATCAGCATCACCATCACCTGAGAACTTGTTAGAAATGTAGATTCTCAGGTGCCACCCCAGACCTCCTGAATCAGAACCTCTGAGGAGTGGGTTCAGTGATCTGTGGTTTAACAAGCCCTCTCGGTGAGATTTGGTCTCATTTACTACAAATGGAAGGTAATGGTAAAAATAAATGCATCTGCATATCACCTGAAATCCTCTTGTGGGCCCCAGGTTCACACACCACACTTTCGGGCAGGAGCCCCACCCACAGAGGCTATGACAAGAATGCTCCTGCCCCTGGGGCTGTGCGGTGACAGCTCACACAGCTCCATGTGGCGGTTCTGAGTGGGAAGCGCTGATGCAGTCCTACTACAGCCCTTTCTGCCCTTTACTGGACTGAGAAAATCCAGGCCCTGAGGAGGGCGAGACTTGCCCAAGGTCACCCAGCAACATGGTCAGTCTCCTTTCCCAGGGTCCTCACAATGCCTGGCCTGTTTAAAGCCTGCCTCTATTCACTGCTGAGTGAAAACTCCAGCTCCAAAACAGAATATGGGGAAGGATACTATCTTGTGCAGCTTATGTTTATAGCTGCAGATACATGGGGAAAAAAGTCAGAAAACACTGTTGAAGCGGTTATTTAGGGAGAGAAGGTGTTTGCTGGTCTTTTGTGTTTTTAACTTTTCTATATTTCATAATTTTTATCACAATAATGTTTAGTTACATAATCAAAATGTATTAAATGTTAAAAATTGACATGAAGCCTTATCCAGCCACGGCCTATCGTTGGCAGAGTCAGGAAGCCTTCCAGATAGAGCAGCCCCGCACCTGCCCCAGGTCACACCCTGGGCCTGTGCACATGTTAGGTCCTCTGTCTGGACATCCTCGCCCCGTGACGGCCTCCACATCCGTACCCACCAGCACCTCCTGTGGGTTAGGCCCTCCCCTGCATCCAGCCCTGGGCACCCCCTAGCCCAGAGGGCACCTCATGGTGTGAGAGTCCGCCTGTCTGTCTCTAAAGAGAGGAAAGCTCCTTGGGACATGTGTTCCGCTTGACCATCACCCCAGCCTGGTACAGAAAGGTGGACAGTGGGTATTTGGTGAATAAATGAATGAATGATTGGAATGAATCCCCAAAATGGTGATTTCCAGAGGCCCTTCTCCAGCTGGCCCAGGTGGAACCAGTTCCACTTATCACAGCAAAGCCAGGTGTGAGGAGCGGGGCAGGTATGTGTGAGGGGCCAGGTTCTCGAAGGCTGGATGGACACGGGACTTGTGGCGGGTCTGGGGGTGACAGTGCTGCTGTGGGAACTTCGGGGAGGTCTCGTCCCTGGAATCCCCCCAGGTGTCCTGGTGCCCCCAGCTGCTGCGTGGTGTGAGAATTCCCGGCTGGTGGGGACACACAGGGACTTGTTTGGATTGGCCATCTGGTCCAGTCCAAGGAGCTGCGCCTCCAGCCCCTCAGGGAAAAACTCACTTTTGATGTGTGACAACAGCTGCAGGCAAGGGGAGGGAAAGGTGTGCTGGGCCTTGGACTTAGAAACCAGAAGCCAGTTCATGCCCCTACCTTGGTCTACGTGGGAAAGGGATGGGACCTCAGCTAGCTCCAGTGTCCTGGGTTATGGTCAGAACCCTCCCTTATGCACTTAGTGACTTGGGCTGACCCAGCCCCTCCCTGAGCCTCATCGGTGAAACCAGGGCTGCGCCAGGGCTCTCGACACCTCCCAGCTCCAATCTCTGGCTTTGTCCCAGGAGGGCCGGAGATGAGAGAGGTGATCCAGGCTCACCTGTTTACCTCAGCCTCCTTGTGGAGCCTCCCTCTTTCTGCCTGTGAGGTGGGTGGGGCCAGAAGGAAGGGCATTCACCTGTGGGTCTCTGATTTCTCTGCCCAGGTGTGCCTGGAGAGCCTGGTCTATACCTGGTGCTCTGCTACACCCCATGGCCTGGTCACAACCTTCCTGCCTCCAGAACAGCCCTGGCCCAGGGAAGAAGCTGGTCTCTGCATCGAATGATAGGTAGAAAATGGAAGTTGGGATGGTAGCTCTGGAAAGGAGCCAAGGACGAGGTGCCTTCCCAAGGATGTGGAGGGTTTTTCCAGAATGGAGCTTGACTGTTGTGGGCAAACATCAGGAGTTGGGAAGGGTGGTTCCCTCTGTGGGAGCTGGGGCGACTTGCCTGGGCCAAACGGTGGTAGGCTGTGGGTAGGGCAGGCACAGCTGGGGTGCCTGGAGTCTGGGGTCCCTGTCCTTGCAGAGGACTGGCATGCAAAACAAGTGTCCCCTGCCCTCTGGCTGGGGGACATCCTCTACTTCCAAGCCCAAACACACACCAGCTGCCACAAGCCACTGGGGCTCTTCAGAGGACCAATGGGCAGCCACACCCACTCTGGGCCAGCCTACTGGGCCCACCTCTGTCCTAGTCAGAGCCCAATGACTGAGGGGACTCTCTGGGGACAATGGGGGCAGTCTCATGCTGCCCTCTTACAGGTGGACCAGTCCCTGGGATGTGGTGTTGGGCTGGGGTGGGCTGAGGCTGTTCTCTGCCGGGGTGCCTGGTGGACAGCAGGTGGAGCAACTTCTCCTTGGCTTTCCTGGACCGCAGGACACAGCTGAACACTGCACTTTATCTTGGATGCCTTTGGATTCTCAGGGGACTCTGGGAAGGAAGACGGGGATGCCCCAGCAGGAGGCCAGGGCCCTGGGCCATGCTTTCTTCCCCCAGTCCCTCCAGCAGGCACCTCCTCTCCAGATCGACATCACCTGATTCCTGAAGGCCTGGGCTACTAACAAGAGCACCAACACCCTCATCAAGGCCTGTTCTTACACCAGAGCAGCTACTACATGAGTTCGGAGCTGAAGAGGGCGGAGAGAGAACGCAGGGCTCTGTAAGAGTTCTCAGCTCCCTGCTGCGGTGGGTCCCATAGAAGGTCCCTCAGAAATCTGCAGTGCTGTAAGTCACTGGGAGGAAGCTGCAGCAGACATGCGTTTCCCAGCCTGGTAGATGGAGAGGTGTGTCTGGGTCCCCGAGTGGGAGGCCAAAACGTGGCATTGGATGTGGCAGTGCAGGAATTCTAGCCAGATCTGGGGCCCTGGGCAAGTCATTTAACCTCTCAGAACCCCACTGCTGGTCACCATGGGGCTCTTGTGTGGATGTAAAGACCCCCCCGGCCACTTATGTCCCATCAGTGGAAGCCTAGCATGGGTGGAGACCCCTGAGACTGAACTCAGTGGCGGGATCCAGCCCGCCCAGCTCTCCTACATAGAACCCAGAGCCAGCAGGGTGGGCTTCCTGGAGACACAGGAGCTCCTGTGGGCTTGGGAGGATGAGCAGGGGTCCCTTTGGGAAGGTGGAAGAGGCTGCGGTCAGTGGAGGCCATCATGAGGCAGAGCTTGGGCAGAAGGGGCATGACTGGGGGATCTGAGACCCAACAGAGCCTGGACTGAGGACACTGTGGCCACCTCCAGGTGCCACTCAGGCAGTAGAAGCTGAGCTAGGGCTGGGCCCCCTGGTCCTCAGTAAGGCCTCGCCAGTCTTGGAAGCTGTACCCAAGGTGGCTTCATGTAAGGGCGCATCTGAGCACTTTTTTTTGAGACAGGGTCTTGCTCTGTCATCCAGGCTGCAATTCAGTGGCACGATCAGAGCTCACTGCAGCCTCAAACTCCTGGGCTCAAGTGATCCTCCCACCTCAGCCTCCCAAAGAGCTGGAATTATAGGCCTGAGCTATGGAGCCCGGTTTTAAATCTTAATAAATATCTCCCCTGGTCTGCTTCCCTGGCTGACACACATGCTGGCATCTTGTGCCCAGACAGACATGTTTCTGGACTTGGTTCCATTTGTTCTGACGGGCTCCTCCCTCTCAATGACCACATGTTACAGTATGTGGCTATCCTTACACATTTCTGTATAGAACTGAGGGTTAGTGTATTAATGTCAAAATTTTACTGGTGTTTCTAGGCTGGGTGGAATGTTTAAGTTAATTTAGTTGTGGGCATCATGACAATTTAGGCTTTCCCTCCAGGAATGGCGATTCTGGGACGCAGGTTTTGCACATTCTGGTTTATTGCTTGGCTCGCTGCCACAGAGGGATGGCACTGCTCCACGTGCCATGCCCTAGAGATGTCCCACCTTATCTTTCTAAATCAAGCTGAATGTTCTTAGCTGACAGGATATCATCGGTGCTGCGGGGACTCACTCCCCACAACCCGAGATGAAGTGAGGCGGAGACTGTGGAGCAGATCCGTGCTGAGTGCATTAGTCCTTCCTGACCTGCACTGCTGCTGGCTGGGGCTGTGTCTGAGCCATCAGAGGACATTGATTCGGGGATGGGGCTGGGGGTGGTGCTGGAGAGATGCTCCTCACCTCCCTCAGCTCCTCCTGTCCACCCAACACTTGGACACCAAGGCCCCTGACTTCCAGGCCCCAGGCACCACTAACAGGGTGCTGCATGGAAACAAAGTGTAGGCCCAGAACCTGGAGTTTGGGTCACTCCTCCTTCCAGTCGAAACCTTTGTCCCTCCCAGATGATTCCACCCTCATGGCTCTATGGGCCAAATATCCTAAACAAAGGCCTGAACAGGGGTCTATATCCGAGTACCCAGAAAACACACACGGAAAGGCTCTGCATGTCCCCTGTGGCCTGCCAGAGGTAAGAGCCTGCCCGTCAAAATGCCCAGTCCTGGTTCTTGCAGGGAGGTGAGGAGCGGAGGAAGAAAAGATCCATCTCATTCTTCATCAGAAACCTAAACTTGGGAAAGCCAGACACAGTACATTTCTTAATGATCCTGATACTTTTATAACTGGTTACAGCAGGGTCACATGCACAACTGTTTTCCAACATCTTTCAACTGGCCCCATAACATCCTGTAACTTCTTCTTTTTTTAATTTTAATTTTGTAAGGCCAGGGGCAGTGGCTCATACCTGTAATCTCAACACTTTCGGAGGCTGAGGCAGGAAGACTGCTTGAGGCCAGGAGTTCGAGACCAGTCTGGGCAACATAGCAAGACCTCATATGCAACAGAGAAAAACCCTGTCTCAAAAAATATTTTTTTGAGTATAGTGGCATGATCACAGCTCACCGTAGCCTACAACTCCTGGGCTCAAGTGATACTCCCACCTCAGCAGCTGGGACTCTCAGAGCGCACTACCACACCTGGCTAATTTTTAAATTTTTGGTAAAGATGCGGTCTCACTACGTTGCCCAGGCTGGTCTTGAACTCCTGGCCTCAAGAGATCCTCCCAATGCGACCTCACAATGCTCTGGGGTTACAGGCATGAACCGCCATGCAGCCCCTGCAAAATCTAACTGTTCTTCAGGCGCCTCTTTTGGACCTCCTAGCTAGACTGCCATTGGCAAATACTAGTTTATTGTTTTCCCACATTTATGTTAATGGGTTTCCCATGTTTTATTTGTCTAGTCTAGGGTTTCTCAATAGCATCACTATTGGTGTTTTGGGCTGGATAATTCTTTGTTATGGAGCTGTTTGTGCCTCGCAGGATGTTTAGCAGCATCCTCAGCCTCCGCCTGCTACATGCCAGTAGCACTCCTCAGTGTGACAGCCAAAATGATTTCAGATATTGTCAAATATCCCCAGGGAGGCAAAATCACCTCCACTTGAGAACTGCTGACCTAAAAAACCTCTGGAGCAATGTTAGATCATGATAACCATAGCACATACTGCTCCTGACCTTAATGGGAATACCTCTGGCATCAAAGTATAGTAGTACCTGTATACTACTGTCTGGGCTGTTATTAGTACACTGTATTAGTCCATTCTCATGCTGCTATGAAGAAATACCCATGACTGGGTAATTTATAAAGAAAAGAGGTTTAAATTGACTCACAGTTCTGCATGGCAGGGGAGGCCTCAGGAAACTTACAATTGTGGCAGAAGACACCTCTTCACAGGGCAGCAGGAGAGAGGAGAGCCGAGCAAAGGGGAAAGCCTGTTATAAAACCATCAGAT